ATTGTGCCAGCAGAATATGTAATATAAAAATTAAACCAAAAGGCATAGAACTATTTTTGGGTCTTGTACAGATAAAGTGATGAAAACGCCCATGTTTATAATGCTTCGCCTAGTATTATTAGGGAGATTATTTGAAGGCTTAGATGGGTCGGGCTTGTAGCATGCATAGATGACCATAAAGTAATATATTTTCGTTAGAATACGTCATGGAAGAAGACTGGTTGGCATATGGAGACATACGTGAGACATATATTAAAATGGACCTGTGAGAAGTCGATTGTAAACTTTTGAACTGGATGGAACTGAATAAGGTTGAATGGTGAAGTTCAGTGGTTGCAGTGATGAAACTGTGGGTTCTGTGACAACAGGTAAGTTGTTAACATAGCTAAATAGCTACGGACTGAACAATGGACACTCGGTAAATTGAAGTAGTCATCACATGCTGAGGTACTTGGCCAGTGAATTAATCAGTCAGTGCTGAGGAGAGCTGTTGGGAGCAAGGAAGATCAAGCCACAGTGGTGTTGAGAGTATTACACAATGCGTAATTTCATAATCTGTGTTGTTTATCTACTGCTCTTAGGGTGATTAAATCAAAGAGGATGGTAGGGCGGAAATGAGAAATTATGCAAAGTTTTAGTCGGCAAGCCGCTTGAGAAACTTGGACGTAGATCGGAGGGATAATACTACAGTTCATCTTATATAAGTATAGTATGTAGTAATATGTGGATAATGAATTCAATTGTCTCAGGGTAAGGTACAGGATATTCCATTAAAACGCAACCCCAACACTGCACACAAGCCCATTCATGCGCAAAACGACGAAACCAGTGTCAAAATTGAATTCTTGCATCCTTATCTCGCTGTTGCTGATACACTGCTTGAAATCGGCACGGTTGTAATTTCAACTGTTTTATCGCTGGGTGGCCATATGTCACAAACAGACACTTCCTGTATCCAGAAATTTTGTTACCAGTCTTTGTGTTGTCTCATTCGGCAGTTCCTTGACGGGACACACGTCATTGATAAATGCTTCACGGGCATCAGCAAACGATTTCGATGAGAAATAAGACATTGGTGTCTCGCTTGAATTGGCCTACGCAGTGGTATACGTAGAAAAATAAATCCGAGTCCTTACATAACATGGGTTTAAAGTGACTGAAACGTACACATGGTTACAGGCGTACTCGTAAGATTATAAATGTTTTATATTAAGTTTCATGATATCCTGTTAATTAATTAAAATATGTTATACGTAGAAAGTACTTAAATATATAATAGGATACCTAACGATGAATATTAAGTATACGGAACTAATACAGGTAGTTTATGTAATGGAAACACCGTGTATAAATGTTTATCGAATATATCGATGTACACAGACGATTACGTAAAAATTCATATAGGCCACTAACTAAGACGGTCCTTTAAATAAACCACTGTCAGTACGATCCAAGTTGTATGTAAAATACGGGTATCGTTGAGTTAAATAAGAGACCGTGGAGACAGCCAATACCTCTGAAACGTCGGAGAACCAGATTAAACGTCGCATTAACCCAGAAGACAGCCATCTTCATACTCGCCGTTATGAGAACCTCAGATTCTACAAAATGAGAGCTGGTTTTCAGTTTTTTATTCGAAATAGACAGAAATTTAACAAAAAAGAAACTCGGTTTCGTTTAGCGATAGGCATGCCGCAGTGGCGGAGGAAGAAGTCGTGCTCGTGCGTCAGGTGAGAACCGGTTGCGCTCTTTCAGTAAGCCATCAAGAGACTTGCGGGTGGCGGAAGAATGTGGGATGTGATTCAGGAAACGAGCGAGCAGCATGTTTCTGGAGGCGGCGGAAATGCGGAAGGAAAATAGCACACAAATAACCATAAACTGGTATCAGCATTTGGAAGCAGTTCTAATGTCTTTACTCAGACACGCTTGTAAGTGCGGGAGTCAGCTAACTAATTGTATCGTCTTTATAGTCAGTCACTAAGTCATACTATTGAAATGACTGCAACACTTGGATGGAGATGGCTGTCTTCTGGGTTGTAGCGCCATGTATTCTGGTAGAGGTTTAGCAACGTTTCGGATGTCGTTGCCGCCTGTATCGTCAGGGTGATGAAACGTTACAGGTATCTTCGTTCTCACCGCAGTCAGAACCTCAAATCCTACTTATTACAGTTTATTTTGAGGCTTTGCCACTTTGCTATTCAAAAGCAATGTAGTAACATAATGTCAGAGCACATATGTATAGCTAACCTGTAAGTTTAGAAAGTGTTATAATTATTGACAACAGTCTTACAAAACGACTTGAGGCATTTGAAACACTGCGCTCTGTAAACGGATCACGTAGCGTTAACTGTATTGAACGAAGACCACATAGCAAGCGTCCGGCAGATGATACGGCTTGTGATTATTGAAAAGCAAATCACTTTCGCAGTGCCTTGACTACCTTGACAGCTTCCATCTGGAAAGATTTCATACGTAACGTATGTGTGGCCCTCACACAAGTAATGAGAAACGGATTACATAACATGTCGGACAAATTACGTGGCAGAATTAACAAAACGTTCTGGGAAGAATGTGTGATGTCTGTTTATTTTATAAGCAACAGCAGCAATGGTGAATATAGCAAGACTTTAAATTAATTATTATACATTATTAATATGATATTGATCCTGTTTTCGTAATTTTAAGTAGTACTTCTTCCTATTAGGCCTACTTAATTTTGTCCGATGTGACATGAAGGTACAGCAATGTCGAAATGTTTGCTGTTGTTGCAAAACAAAGCGTTCCCTTTACAAAAGTTGCATGTTAAGATATAAATTATCACGAAGGTTCACGTTACTTTATGTTAGTGACTCATCCACCCAACCAATTTTGGTGACTATCATGTTGATATTACTTACGGTAAGAAGTTAAAAATTACAAACGTGTGAAACCCATGAAAGGGAGTCTAGAGGTATGACATTCATACCAAGTTTCATGAAAATTCGTCATTTCGTTCAAGAGTTATTAGCGAGACATACACGCTGATAGACGCGAAGATCGGTAAAATATGGTACATTGGCCTCATCCAATTAGACCTCAAGTTCGAGTGTTGCTTAGGGCAATGATGAGACCGGAAGTCATTGTGCATTGTTTGGAATTAGCCTACTTACTGCTTTGCATTCAGTAGTTACTCTGTTAGAATCCAAGCCGAGTTACAGGCAATCCCGACTGACGATTTCATGGTTTATATTAGTCTCTCCAGACGAATGCACGAATAGTAGAATTCATTCAAACAAGCTACGGCTGCCTCTTTTAAAATCTTTATCGAGTCGCAGTTTATGATCATCTTGCCATCTACGTTAAGCAGTTGAAACAGCGTCGTTTTATGTGGTCTTGTTATTGATCGACGTTCATTACTGAGGCTGCACTTACACAGCGCGTAGAAATGACGAGCTTGGGACTGGATTTATTTATTCTTGCGTTATTGAATGACATATTTTCAGCTTTATAGCGTCAATGGTAGGATGGAAAATATGCGAAAGTCTGTTGTGTCCTATTTTAAAGTACATATGCAGCTTTGACCATCAGGGGCTGAGGAAGAAGTTGAAAAGCCACATTCTATTAATATATAACCGGTCTCCAGGCCCTGATTCTAACCTTGGACATCTTTAATACAACCAGTTACCCACGACTTTCTGTCCGGATGATCTGGTTCAATTTGCGTTGTTGCTTCCACCTTGTTTGCAATGGTTTGATAAGAATATGGACAGTTTGTTCATAGAACTTGTTTTGACAAAACCTTGGTTTAAAAAAAGCAAACAAACATGCAAACAGAGTCGAGCGAATGCTACGTGTTTACGTAAGTTACAGGCAACTGTGATGTAGCCAGGGATATGAGTGTCTAGAAAATTATCACTCTAGTTAGAAAGAACTTAGTTTCCAAACATTTTATCACAACCATACTATCGTACAATCGCCTATTACATCTTATTGAATTATCACTATCAGTAAAGAAAGTACGTGTAGTTCAAAGGTTTGCAACTTACAGTCTGCGAGCCGAATATGACCCTCGAAATGAAGAATTTTGCCCCACAAGATAATTGTATATGCAAATGAATAACAACTCGGAACACGCATTAATGACATTGTACTGTAAATGTGTTGGGGAACTGTCCGAGACGAAGCTCCACACATTCTGAACGTGCAAAGCCTGCTCCGTTCTTTCGGCCGCTTTACTGCAGGTGAAGAAGAGATGTTGGGTGATCCCAGCGACGGTCTTGGCGCTTTGGACGAGAGAAAAATCCCCTGTCCCTGACGTTATCGAACCAGTCTGACCCTGCAGATGTTCCCAATGTTGATGCTGGGAACACCGTATCCCAGCTTCGACCAAATACCTTCATGCAATATCCTCATTAGTATGACCCCATGTTGTGCTATATGTTTCTCTTCAGTTTATTTATAACAGACACGTAAAAAAAGTACAAGCTCCAAAGGTGTCCCACTTAAAAGTTTAGCAATTATAATTCTGAAATTTGCATAAATGACTCGTAGTCAAGTGTGAATAAAGAGACACAGAAGTTGTGAAACTGTTACAGGGATTTGATGTCAGAAACCAAGACGGTAAAAGTAGGATTTTGAGGTTTTTACGGCGGTGAGCTTGAAGATGGCTGTCTTCTGGGTTGTTGCGCCGTGTAGTCTGGCAGAAGTCTACTGACGTTTCAGAGCTTCTTGCTGCCTCCATCATCAGGGCGATGAGTCATTTCCATCAGGCTACACGGCGCAACAACCCAGAAGACAGCCATCTTCAGACTCACCACCGTGAAAACCTCAAATCCTACATAATTATTATTTACCGCTATTAAGTAAATGTAAATATTAGGTAAATTGCGTAGCTGAATTTGTCAAGTGTCCTTCGTCTACAGCATTACGAGATAAGGAACAGGTGTATCGATATGTATCACGCTTGTTCGTTTAATTCATTTTCACAGTTACTGCTTCATATCCGTCTCTTTCTCTTCCAGTGATTTCCTCCGTTGAATGTTAGTGCGCTGCTGGTATTCTGGGGGCCATGTGTTTGAATCTCGACCCAGGGGCAGGCTGTTCGGCTTCCTTCATTCCTTTAAGGTAAATGCCTAGAGAATGTTTTAAAAGTAGGCTACGACCACTTTGTTCCCGTACGTCGTAATTCATTAGCCACAAAGCATCTTGCTATTTTACACTTTTTTTCTTCTCCCAAATTCGAATCGTTCTCCTTCCTTTAGCCATTCTGTTTGAACTAGCGTAAGAAACAACAGATTATAAACTGTTTCGTCACACATGTCATGAGTTTTCTGTCACAATAGGATTTAATCAGAAATCGATCACGTATGTGTCGCTTCAGTGACTGCAAGAAAAACATGCAATTCTGAATTGCTTCCAGGGCATCTTTTTGTGTCTGCCTGTCTAGTGAATGCATGCAAAAGATGTGATGTAATAAGTTTCTCTCCAGCAACCAGTGCCTACATTTGTTACATCCATCTTTGTTCCTACTCCTTTTATGACTTGTTGCTTTGTTTTCCCAAGGACACTTCAAATAACTTCCATTAATTTGTACATGAGCTACGGTAAAGATGAGAGGTTTCTTCCATCATTACTTTTTATTTGTACAACTTAGATTCCACAGAAGAAGGATTCAGCTGTCGGAGTTTTAAAACATACCATGCAATAGCTGGAATTAAATCGGAGGATCGTTATAAATATTCACTATCATGCGAACCAGCTCCATGATGCTGAGTCCTTCTTTAGAAGCTAATAGTCTGCCAGATGGCAAATAAATTGCCTTTTTTTGTGAAATCCGAAATTTTATTGCCGTATTTACAGAAACACGCCACTTGAGCGAGATGAATTAAATTCTCTTTCTCACCATATTTCTTTAAACCCATTTTAATATTATCCTCCCACCTTCTCTTAGAACTCCCAAGTGGTAACTGTCCTTCAGGTTCTCAGAATAACAATTCGTAGGTATTATGCATATTTCCCACGCGTGTTGCATTCCCACCCATGATTTGATCACCGTAATAACATATTATGAAGTGTAGGTGTATAAATTATGAAGCTCTTTATTACGCAGCTTTATTCGTCCTTATGTTACTCAGTCTCTTTTTAAATCCAGATATTATGACGAACAGGATTACCATATGTTTTTAAAATGCAACAAGCAAATAAGTAGATAGAACACACGAACCTTTGTCCACGTGCAGCGGGTGACCCAAGGTCTTCTTCACTAAGCATTGCGCTGTTAAAGCAAGTCCTCTCGTTATTAAGTCCCGTACGTACTGTACCTCGTCGTCCTGCAGTAGCCGCATCCATCATCTTCCCAAGTAGCTTCTTTTTTTGAAATATTTTACCTTTGAAATTTCTTATATATCCGGTCAAACTCAAAATTACTTTTTTTGTCACCCTGACACTGGGTGAGAAGCACAAACCACGTATAAGTGTTCATTTCATATGATCAAAATGTTTGGCTTTGTTGACTTATTTCGTGTTCAATTTTTTTATGACATTTACAATATTTGTGTACAAGTTCTATTATAATACTGTATTTTCCTCAATGTTTTAACATAGAATAAATATTTTCACCGTCGCCATGTTTCGAATGTGACATAAATTACTCTACGAATAATTTTCGCTGAGATTTCTACTGTGGTACCTGTTTCTTAATTTATGCACACCATGACGTAGGAGTTTCGTACGGCCGCCATATTTGTTGTGTTCAGCATACAGAAACATTCGTCATACGTTTTTAGATATCTTAATTATTTTTCCCTTACCAAGGTTCACATTCCCAGTTTCAGTTGTTCATAGTTGTCTTTATTAAACAAAATCTGCGTGCAGATTCTGGGTGACCGTCATATCGATATCTATGTTACATATAACGAAAATTCACGTCAGTAAATGTTGCATGTTATCTGGGAATTTGACGCTTGTGTGGTACAGAAATACGCACGCTGCTATGTCGCTATAGTCTGCTATTGGGCCGAACTCCAGTGTCATGATGTTCATACCGAATATCAAGAATATCCATTCATTGGCTCGGGACTTTTAGCAGACACGGGCGGATAGACTCAGACATGAATATGATGACATCATTAGCGTTTTCTTTTTCTCTTAAGACAGGCAAAGAATGATACAGTGGCGAAAATAGTTAAATCTATAATTAACGCTGTAAAGATGAACGATGAACACTTTTCGCTTTATTTTTACTTTACTTTACGTTCTCATAAAAATAATCTGCTAACTGCTGCTCGGGGCCGATCTACGCTCAAGACTTGATGATTAGTTCTCATATGTACAGATGAATACTCCATGAAACAAAATGTCCAGAGCGACAAGCTGTGGTTATTGCGCCATTCCTTCTGGAAATTGTACAGATCAATTCCCTGAAACACATAACCGCATCATTCAACGTATTTCACATAATATTCTCGGAAACCGCACAAGGAATGGCGTGCTGCAGTGACGTGTGACCTTATTTCCTTCTCGTCCTGGAAAGCATAATGTGTCTCACGGTCCTTGCTGGAGTATCGTATTTCCCCGTGCATAGGAGCATGGGCCGAACCCTATTAAAACAGCTTCCGCCAAAGGAGGTGGGCGAGAAAGACGAGATTAATAATGACACAATACATCGCCTCTCCTCTTCCAAGTAAGCGCGTATGTGACTGATTAAATCAGAAACATGAAGCCTATTTATGGATACGGTACGTGGCGTGTGGTGTATATGGTATTGATGACTGCTATGGATAGAGAAGTAATCATTTTCAGGTCTAAGTAGGATTTGAGGTTTTCACGGTGGTGCGTCCGAAGATTTCTAGATTGCGGGCCGTGTAGTCTGGTAGAAGCTTGCCAACATTTCGGATGTTCTTGCTGCCTCCATCATCAGGGTGCCTTTGAAACGGTAAAGTTCTGCCAGACTGCACCGCGCTGCAACCCAGAAGACACCCATCATCTTCTGATCTGTTAATAATTTTTGCATTCCAGTGTGATGTTTTGTGGCGTCTAAAAGAACCTCCGTGACAGATCTTCGCCGATTATTTTCAACTGTTCTTGCCGCTTTGAATATGTTTATTAGTTAAATGACAATGCCAGTTAAATGACTCGACTGTCAAATATAGAAATTATGAAAATTATGAATTATTATGATGTGACGGATTTTCATTAAAATCTGTGTGAACAGAATGACACTTTAGGCCAGCATTCCTTTATATTTATAACTTCCTACCATCAACAGATATTACCAAAATGGCATTATTGGCACCATTTAATGTAGGATAATGCAATTTATGTTGAAAATATTTCTTCAAAAAATTACACACTGAAGTTTATGTGTGCCAAATTTAAAGTAGTGGGAAGTAATGCACAATAGTGCATCACTAAATTCTTCAAGAATTAATTTATAATATCTGATCGGCTGACCATACGAACGAGGTATTCGTGTATCGAAGTGAAATTTTCTTCGCAGATTAAGATGGCGGTCTTCAGACTCACCGCCGTGAAAATCTCAAATCTTTCTTCACAGATATTTTTATTCTTAAAGAAACTAGACATGAAAGGTTTTATGGTCCCATCTACACTGTCCAACACTTACAGATGGCAGGCTTCTATCCAGAGTGTTTTTCAGTGGCGTACTTTTAAGTATGTACAGCACAGTTTTGAACAGATGCCTCGTATGTGGGTGGATGCAGAGTGAGAACGAACTCAAGGCCCCAGTAACGAGTTTCGTTTCAACCTGTTTGGCTGCACGGGGCACTAAGAGATAACGAAACGAGAGGAACGTTGCTCCGTGAATTGGTGAAGATCGCGTTAGAAATCAAATGACTTTTAATATATTGTGTATGAGCACCTGACGGAGACAAAATCTGCCAGAGACTTGATAGCAATACAGGTAATAAATAAAACATTGAAATATTTCAAAGTATATGGAAGAATCCTGGAACAACTAAAGAACAAACGAGGTTTATGATTAAATTGGGGGAGGGAAATAAAGGAAATCATGATTATTTTTCGGATCTTGAGTCTCTTCACGGTTACCTTATTGGTATTATCGATGACAGAAATTAATTATTTTAAGGCAGAGCATGAATCACATATGTTTCAAAACATAGGCCGCACGTAAATTTGTAGTGGGTGGGTACTTTTTCTCAAAGGAATGCGGTTACTTATTTCGCGTAATATTATTATTGTGGGAGGCTACAAGAAGTGTGAAGATGGCTGTCTTCTAGGTTGCAGGCCGTGGAGTTTACCAACGTTTCAGAGGGAGATTAGCTTCTGAAACGTTGGTAAACTTCTATCAGACTATATGACGCTACCACCCAGAAGACAGTCGTCTTCGGACTCACCTCAAATCCTACTTACAAGAGGCATGACTCTCACCAAGCTACTTAAAAATCCGTCCTTTGGTTTAAACGTTACTGAGGAGGTAGAAAAAAGCACAGAAAATTGTCTGTAATGACTAATAAATTCGTTAAAACAAACTATTGAACATGACGATTATTTGTTAGGATCTTTATAATGTGGAAGGCCTCATTATGCTTTGCAATTGGCATATTTGTATTTTAGTGCGCACACGTAGCGGAAGCCAAGAGCTTTCTCATATAATAGTTCCTTCATTATTGTAGTAGTTGTCGTCTTCCGTAGAAAAAAGCGTGATGCTGTAAGCAGAAGCAAGATCCGAGGCACACGCACACACAATAAAGACTGTGTTGGTCTTGATATTCCAGGCTAATAAATTATTAGATATGAATATAAAAATGTTGTGTATGAAGTTTAGAGCAGAATATACATACACAGATAATTCATGCTAATGTTGTGTTTGTTTGTCGTCAGTCTTCCGACTGGTTTGATGCGGTCCTCCATTTTCGCCTATCTTGCGCCAATCTCTTCATTTCCACATATTTTTTTAAAGCCCACATCCTCAAAAATCTACGTCACATATTCCAATCTTTGTCTCCCCCTACAATTCTTCCTTCAACTGTTCCTTCCATTACCAAAATAACCAATCCTGGGTGCGTCAGAATGTGTCCCACCATCCTATCTCTTCTTCTGGTAAGATTTTTCCATAGACTTCTTCCTTCGCCTATCCTAAGACC